TTTTTTTTTAAGGAGCAATGAAAGGATATTCTGCTGCCACAGCCCCAGTCACTCCCCATCTACAACTGGAACAGCCGCCCACCAAAGGCAGCTCCACAGTGGAGGATGGGCTGCCAAATGGCTCGGCTGTTGCTATAACAACAGTACCTCTGTCTCATTTCTTTTGAAAAATGGATTGCTGCTGGTGAGATGAAGCAGAGCAGCTTCTCCTCACAGATGAAAGCCCTGCTGACAACCCCCACACATTTTTGTTTATCTATTGGGTCTGTCACAGCATGTCCAAGCAGCTCTGCCGAGGATTTCAGGATGGGTTGGATTAGACTGATTATTGGTCAGTGTGTGTTTGCATGCACAACCTCTGTACCCCTGCTTCTCCTCCAATTGAAAGTCATTTAAAAAGTCAGCCTGCCAAAATTTGACCTTTTCTCTCTCTGCAACTGGATTTTTTGCAAAGGCATATAAAGAGTCAAGAGTCCTGCTTCACCATCTTGTACTTTGGGGTAGAAAACTGCAGTGAAATGAAGATTCATCAACCAAATATGTAGTGTGAATAAAGCTAAAGGCTTATGAAGCTGGAAGGAGGTCGTTTTATTTCTACATTTTCCTTTGAGTTTGATATTTTTCTTTTATTTTTATTTTTCTTTTTCTTTTTTATTTTTATTTATTTTATTTTTATTTTAGGTGTCAACAGTCTTCTGCTCCTAGACATAAATCTCTCAACTCTTGCTAGTATCTTCACAATGACGGCTGTAAAACATGCACAAACTGTGTACTTGTACTAAGAAGGAGAGGAGAGTACTTTAAAAGATACTATTTTAATTCAAGGATTGTGTTTATGGAGAGAAGGGAAGGGGAAGTGCTGGGGTTTTAGTCTAAGACACTGTGGAATCCTGGTGGTGGTAAAATGTTTGCCAGTATATGCTCAGCATAGGATATCCAAGCAATTCAGGAGTTAATATGGTGGTTTGGAGTGAAATAATGAAATCATTTGATAAAAATATTTCTGTGCCGTACCTCAGAAAAAGGAGATGCATCTATTGTTATGGCTCACAACTCCACCAAAATGCTTGAGTCAAGGAGCTTCCCCACATGCAAAGGTTGTACCCGTCATGTTGCCTTCAAACAAACTTTTCATGTTCAGTTTCTGTCTACCTACAGTTTTTTAATGAGCAGACAAAGAAAATAAAAATATTAGTGCCTGTTAATGCCCCAAATCCTAAAGTCTCTGAAGGACAACAATGTGGAGATACAAACTTAGAATAGGTTTAATTTAATTTCTTTTTGCAGCAAGGCACAACTTCTGTATGTTTTATATTTGATAGAAAATAGTTTCCATGTCAAGCTGCTTTTTGTTGTAATGCATAATGAACATAATTATGAATATTTATATACTGGGACTGCTTTTAATTTCATTAAAGTCACTGTATATTTGTACAGGGGGACATCCATGTTCCAGCACATGATGAAACTTTAGGAACCAATATTTTTAGAGCTGGTTATTTGCCACTAGATAGTTTTGATTCTTTTGGTAAACCTTCATATACAAAAAAGATGATAGATTCAGGATAAAATAGTAAATGTTTTAAAACTTGAAAGTGTGAAACCATGTAAATGTGTATTACTGTTACCAATATTTTTGTAAAGTATTCATTCAAACTTGAAAAACATATTGAGTCAGTTGACTTATATTCCTCAGGATATAATCACTCTCGTTACTCCATCCCTTGTCGTTAAGACAAAATTTTTTCCCATCTTTTCCTTATAGGAACTTTACTTCACAATGAGAAGCCTGTCACCAAGTCCTGTTCTTACTTTAGCCCATCATTTGGTCAATATGAATTTGGGTTAAAGGCCACAATAGGTTTCAAACATTTCTTCAAATCCTGTTTTAGCCTGTGCATGCCCATTGAGCTTGGTCTTGAGTCACTTGCTGTTTGTTTTTCTGATGTGGCAATAGTGACTTTGTAGTGAGATGGCTTAGGAGTTGAAATGGGTGATTTCAGCTGTAAATTTTGTGAGTGATACATTAAGGGGCAATATTTAAATATGCTATTTTAACCCATTATATCAACTGGCCACCTGCACTTAAGGCCAGTGTGTGCTCTTTCTTTTCTTGCCCTGGGGCTGTGGTGTTGTACTTGTGAGGCGGTGCCATTACTTTACATCTGTACCATCCTTTCCTCTCTCCAGGGTCTGATCCAGGGTTATATAAAAATGAGTGGAACCAACTCAGCTGTAGTATTCTACAGCACAGCAAATACATGACTCAAAAAGCAGCAGGGAGCTGTAATGCCACACACCAGTGTTCAGTTTAACATGGGTTTGTAGGGGAGGGAGGCAGCAGAGGTGAGAGCCATACCATAAGCCCTCTTGTGAGATCTGATTTTGATCCTTCATGCTACTCCTGGACTTCCTTTCCACTGGCACAGTAATAGAATCAATTACAACCTCTGGGCAAGTGCCTCTTGCTAGCAGAGCTCTGCTGCTGTGGCACAGAGAGATGAGAAGGTGACGCTCTCCTGCAGGGCTCTGTGCTCTGCAGCTTGGTGGGTTCCTGCAGACTGTTGCGGGATTTGTGGTTGCTAAACCTGACTATGCCAGTCTTTAACCTAGAGAGAGTGGCACAGTGTGCTTTCCCACCTGCATCTCTGGAGCTCATGGGGACAAGAGCTGCTGCATTTGGGAGAGGAGTGGGAGCACAGTGACAGGGACTTGATAGGGGGCCCCCAAAACTTGGACCTTCACAGCCTTCTTGCTGCAGGCTAGTTCCCCATCACAGCCTGCAACACAGGGAGAAGAACTTGGTGCAAACCAGTGGCCATGCTGTTCCCTCATCTCCAGAAACTGGGGACAGGAGAGACTCAGGGTATGGACAGCTGCTACAGAGCTGCATAAGCATAAATTCACAGAATGCTCCAGGTTGGAAGAGACCTTAAAAATCATCTAATTCCAACCCTCTTGCCATGGGCAGGGACACCATCCACTAGACCAGGTTGCTCAGAGTCTCATCCAGCCTGGCCTTGAACACTTCCAGGGATGGGACATCCACAGCTTCTCTGGGCAACCTGTGCTAGCACCTCACCATCCTCACAAGGAAGAATTTCTTCCTAGTATCTAATCTAAACTTACTATCTGTCAGTTTGAAGCCATTACCCCTTGTCCTATCATGTGTAGAAAGTCCCTCTCCTGCTCTCTTGTAGGCCCTTTGGGTACTGGAAGGTGCTATAAAAGTCAGCTCAGAACTTTTTCATCTCCTAGATGAACATCCACAACTCTCCAGGGTTTTAAGACCAGACACCAGAGGAGGAGACCAGCCATGTGGCACAGGCTGTGGTTACAGAGCATCTGGTCTATGTGGCACCACAGAAGGCATGAGGTGGAGGAATTTCTACCTGCAGGAGGCTTGGCATACACTGGCTTTGTGCAAGGCAGAACAGGCAGCAAAGTCTTGGTTATTTATTCCAACAGTGACCCACTGGGGACTCATATTCACGTATTAGTTATTTTCCCACATTAAAAAGCTGTTCTGCTCCAGTGCAAATCAAGGAATTGGTGGTCTGCTTAGACTCCTAGCCTTGTCTTTCTGCTTGGCTCTCTGCTGAAGAGAAGCTTCACCTGTAGCTTAATGTCCCATGCATGCTCAGTTGTGGCTGCAGCAATGCCTGCACTGGCTACGTTCCTCTGCATTGTGTGCTGAAAGAGGCCAGGCTGGCCTGAGGGGTAGGCGAAGAGTACAGCCTTCCAAGAACCACTCCCTCCAAAACCTGGGCAAGATAGGGGTTTGCTTGTCTGTCTTACACATGGAATGAAAGGGGAACCAGCCCTCTGGGATGGGAGGAATAAATAGGATCTGGATTGTCAGAGGAAAGAAGGTTGAGGACCTCTAGGTTAGGGAAAGGGTGGGAGTTGCATATATGGGACTTTCTTCCCAGCAAGAATACTTTAAAAACTGATAAAATCTTTCAGTATTTTGTCTTCTATTGTTCTAGTATCAAGGATGCAAGTGTGTCCTGAAGGCATTTGTTAGACCTGTGACCTCTTTGCTTCCTCCCCTCCCCATTATTGTTTTCTGCCTTAGCTAAAGAGAGATGCTTATTTTAGCCTTGTACATAAGTATCAGACTCAGCTTGGGTGTGAGTGGGGAGCACTGTTGCTTGCTAAAGTTCTTTGCTGTGCTTCTATAACCTGACTTAAAGCTGATGTTAATACACAATTTTTATAAAATTCTTATATTCCAATTTATTTGCTTTTCTATATATCTGTCATGCTATTATTTCTGTTAGCTATTTATGTTTTATGTTAGCTTCTAGCACATAGCTGATTTCCTTTTTTTCATTATTTGATTAACATTATGCAAAGTGCCTTCTATTTTCTAGGGTGGATATATTTTTTTTCTTCCTTAGAAGTGATTCTCAATATGTTAACCAAAAACACATTGCTAATAAAAAGAAACTATGTTAATTTTTTTTTTGTCAACAACACATTTCAATATAAGTAGTCAGTCTCAATATTGCAGTTATTTTTTAAGAAGCTTCTAGAAACTTCCAACAAAAAAGAAATTCAGAGTGAGTAGTAAATTTTAATGATTCCTTTTTCCTTTTTTTTTTTCCAGTTTAAGAATCCTCACTGTGTTAGGCACACTGTTCAAATCTCATCCCTGTATTAGACACTAAAATGCTGAATTAGACAACTTGCTCCCTAAATTTCTTAGAAGGTAGCACAGACTCATCTTGGAAAGCAGAGACATATTGTACAGTTCTGCTTTCCTAGTTAAGGAAAGGTTTTGTTTGGGAGAGGGGGAGGTGTTTGGTTGTTTGCTGGTTTTTAGACTGTGTTTTCAAATTGATCAAGGCATAAGAATGAAATCAGACAAACTTCCTAATCAGTTTTAAAATTTATTGTCACTGGCTTGATGAGGAGTACCTTGTCACAGTGCCCATGAGCACTTCTTTTACATCTGCAAATGGCTAATTTTTTTCATTCCTCTTGTTTTCTTTAAGCTTCAAGAGACAGTCAAAAGGAAGTTGGAAGGCACACGTTCACCTCTCAATGGAGAACAACAGAACAGAGTTTGTGATGGGAACTTTTCTCCAACCAGCAAGCGGACACGAAAGGATGTGCCAGGCATTGAGGCAATCAACAGCTTGCCCATTAATTTGCCTTTGCCTGCTGTCTCTCCTCTTCACCAGCTTGACATGAAAGCTGCTCTGCCCCTGCAGAACAGTGGAACTCACAGGAGTGGTCTAGAAGACTTGGGTGAAAATGGTGGGCTTTCTGAGATAAAGCTCCCTGTTAATGGCTGCAATGAGCTGGATGATAGTTTTAACATCCTGCAGAACAAGGAACTAAAGCAAGAGCCTTCAGATGACTCCAACTGCATAGACACTTCTGAAACATCTCTTTCGAATCAGAACAAGCTCTTCTCAGACATTAACCTAAATGATCAGGAGTGGCAGGAGCTCATAGATGAGCTGGCAAACACTGTCCCAGAAGATGATATACAGGATTTGTTCAATGAAGACTTTGAAGAGAAGAAAGAGCCCGAATTTCCCAGGCCTGCCACAGAGACTCAGGAGAGTGCAAGCATAAAAAGTGATCCATCCCATTCTCCATTTGCTCATGTCCCATTAGGGTCTCCCCAGGTCAGACCATCTTCTTCTGGTCCTCCATTTTCCAACACTTCCATAGGCTCCAGCATTGCTTCTGCATCCAGCGCACCACCAGTCCCAGTCCCTGCTGAATCACCAGCAAACTGTGTTGTCCAGTCCCCTCAGACTCCCAGCCAGGCCCACACTCCTGGACAGATGCAGGCACGCTCTGGAAACGGCTTCCGGATGAACCCAGCATCAGCCATGGCAGGATCGGGGCCTGGGCCAGTGAGCCTGCCAAGTGCTGAGCTGTCCCCAGCTGAGCAGCTCAAGCAGATGGCAGCCCAGCAGCAGCAAAGAGCCAAGCTCTTGCAGCAGAAGCAGCAGCAACATCCAAATCAGCCCTCATGCTGGTCACCGGTGGGGCCTCCATCGAGTCCCTATGGAGGACCCTTTGGTGCAGACAAACCAAATAGTCCAATGATGTATTCTCAAGCCTTTAACAACCAAAACCCAATAGTGCCTCCTATGGCAAACAATTCCCAGAAGACCACAATTAATAACTACCTCCCTCAAAATCACATGAACATGATCAGTCAGCAGCCAAATAATTTGGGTACAAACTCATTGAGTAAACAGTCCAATATGCTTTCTTATGGCAACACCAAACCGCTGACCCATTTCAGTACTGATCTGAGTCAGAGGATGACTCCACCAATGGCAAATCCTGGGAAGAACCCCATGATGCCATACATCCAGCAGCAGCAGTCCCAGCAGACACAGATGCCAGCTCAGATGGCACACCTGAGTGAGGAGCAGAAATGCATGCTCATAATGAAGCAGAAAGGAATGATAAATCAGCCCTTGGCATATCCAACACTCCCTGCCCTTGGTCAGGTAAGTGTGAGTGCACAACATGTGGGCAACAACAAGAGGCCAATACAAAGCTTAGTATCTCCTTGTCCAGTCTCCTCCATTTGCCTCCTTTTTCTCCTGGAAAGTCTGGAATATCATTGCAGACGCTTCTTGGATTTTTCATGTGGTATTGAAGCCTGATTATTTTAAGAAACAACTTAAATTATATTGCATTATACTTTAGACCTGCTGTTAATTCCCTTTCCCTGTGCCTCTTCTGATGAGTGCTTAGGGCAACTCTGGCAAATTTTGGGTCAGAAGTCACTCTTCCTTGGAGGGTTTGTTTCCTTTTTTTTCATAATGCAAGACTTGGTGGGTTGTAGATCCCAAATCACTGCATGGCTTTGTTTCCCACAGTGTAGTTAGCATTGTAACAAAAAGATGGAGCAGTTGGTCCCTTCTTCTTGGGGTAGAGATCAAGCCAGCTTTTAACAGCATTTTTGGCATTTTGGCTCTGGGAGCAAAGGAAGAACATTTTGGGTGTCAAGTACCTTTGGTTTTGACCAGAAAAAGTAAGAATAACAGAATGCTTCTACTGGCACTTGGACCATGGTGATGAGATGAGATGGTTTTTTCTGGGACTTTCAAGCAGTCTTTAGCAACCCCAAGTATTTTGTCTTTCAGCAAGAGGCTAAAGCCATGTTTGCTTCAGAGCCTTGGCATCACTGTCTCACATGTATTCCATGCTAAACTCTGGTGCAGCAGTTGCCAGGCTTGGGAATGAGCTTTGTAATGAGTTAATAACCAGTCAATGCCCTATTGCCTCCTGGGTTAGCAGGGTATCCTTAGTTGTAATTAATAATGACTTCCCTAAGCAGGTGATGCCTTCACAGAAGTTATGTGACATCAGAACATGTCAAGAAGTCTGATATACACTGATAGTGTATAATACACTAATAGAATTGTTGGTTGATAATTTTAGCATGACAGCTCTTCACTAAATTAGATGTTTCCACACCACCTACAGGGAATACTTCATTCTGACTATGGTTTATCTGTGACTCACACTGTAATGCATGTAGAAATATAGCAAATTTTGTCATTCCTTCAGCTTGTAGAGTTTGGAGATCAACCAATAAGGAGAAGTAGGAGCTTTACCAGGTCAGAGCACATCACGTATTATTTAAAATTAATTGCAAAACAAAAAGAAATGTTCATCTGCCTCCTGGTTTTGGTTCAGGATGTATGGTGACAGCTCAAAGGTTCGTATTTTTATATTCATTCTGCTTGCCTATTTTATTAGACATAGGTGGTCTAAAACCTTTTCTTTTTGGGAAGGCTCATAGAGAGAAATACTGCAATAATGACATGGAACTCAGACTGTAATTGTAGCTACAGATTTGTCAGTTTGTAACTGAGAGGCTGAGGATTCTTGGTCATGCTGCCTAATGCTTTATTCTTCCTCTCTTTTGCTTTTGTTAAATCTGTTGAACTCAAAGACATATCAAACAGCTGTGAGGATGAACTGCCTGAGTGAAAGAGTTAATTCCACCTCCTCCATTTCATAAGTCAAGAAATTCATGTTAATATCTCTCTGCAATTCCACAATATGAGTGGGTAGCCAAGGTTTCTGTGACAAACAAAGAAGAAACTTAAGGCAGAGCCATACTTTGTTATATATTATGTGCAATTCACATTTATTGATCCACCCAGGATAAGGGACTTCTTGCTTTTGTCTAGACATCAAAAGGTCCTTTACTACTTGTGGAACCCACTTGCCTACACTGGAAGGATTTATTTTGGTGAGAAAGGTTGAAATAATAAGTTTCTAACTGTAATGTATTTCTTCCTGCTTTCTCTCCTTCTTCCCTGAAAAGCATTTTCCCTATGGGAAATTAGAAAGCTTATAATTACGAGATGTGCTTGATGGAACTTACTGTTTTTGCAAAAGTGGTAAAAATGTTGATATTGTGAAGTTAGACTGATGCAGATTATCTGATTCTATGACTTATTACATGCTGATAGTCACAGATGAAAAATAAGCATATTGCACTCTTCAGTTTGAAATACATATCTGAATGTAAAGTGAATGTATCTTTCTGTCAGTTTATACTTTCTACTTTCATTGTAGTTTTGGGGTTTGACAGAGATTTGTAAAAGTGTATGTTTGTATTAAATAATCACAATGATTTAACAAATTATGTTTAAGGAGAAAAAGAATCTACCTGTATGCTTCTGTCAAGTTACTCTTACAAGGGCATATTTGAGAACCAAAAGCTGATTTAGAGATCATCTGACATACTTAAGTGCCTTGTCTTATTTTCTGTGTATTGCTGTTAAATTTAGGTATGGCTTAGTTCTGTGCATATGAACGGATGCTAACTAAAACCCATTTGTGCCTGAGGTACTTCTGTTGTAATAAGTAGCATACTTTTATTAACTCATTGCTTCAGTCATTGAGTGTATTTTAGAGAGAAGCATAATTTTTTTCAGTCAGCTGGAGCCTTGCAAATGCTCTGTGGAGGTCAGCTGTCCGTGACTGTCTTTTTAATGTGTCAGTGCTCTGGGCTTGTATCCTGGGCATGCTGAGCATCACTGCCTACTCTTGTCAAGAGAGGAAGCCTTTCTGCTCAATATGTGTGTGAGTGGTTGGAGAGGCAGAGTGCTAAATTAGCAGCCTAGGTAGCAGAACTAGTATCCAACAGAAGAAGGAGTTCTCTAAAGGATCTTTGCACTGTGGGTATTGAGACTCTTCCTATCAGATGTGTTGGTCCTTTGCTTTCCTGTGGAGATTCAATACTGGTACTGTCACTGCAGTTGTAGCCCTCAACATACTGTTGCTGAACAACCCATGTACCCTGAACCATTAAGTCCTACATCTCATTTTATACCTTGTTTCTCTTCACAGGAGCACTGGTTGGGACATTTTTACACAAAGCAGATACTGGTTTGGATTTTTGAGTCAGGGATTTTTCCAGAGGTGGCTTGAAGGTAATTTTGATGGGATTTTTTTCTGGAACTGGGTGTTAAAACCATAGGCAGATCCTGACCCATCTATATCCAGCAAAACTCATGGTGGATCCTGGCTCATTTACCTTATCAGGACTCTGTCCTACTAATATTACCTCATGTCTGACTGTTCTCCACTTTGTCAGACTCATAATTCGAATTCCCTAATCTCTACCTTGCTCCATGTACCCTGAACTGCCCTAAACCAGTTGTTAGTTTGTGACTATGTGGCAAGTGTTGCCCTTTTTGCTCTTGCTTTTTTCTGGGTGGCTCTTCCATTCTTGGTTATCTGGGACTCATAGGCTAATCCAGCAAGTAGGTTTTCACAGGGCTGATAAGTTCTTTGGTTATTTGAGGGATAGAGGTCCTCTTCTTTTCTGGATCTCATCTCATAAAAAAAGAAATCAGTTCCACACCAAGATGCAACAGTGGCTTTGTTTAGACTTCTTATACAATTTTAGAAATAAAAGGAAGACAGCCTTAATCCACCTCCTTCTCAAAAATCACACTGTTGTTTAAGCTAAAATGTCCCATTAAATTTTTGAGATGTATGCAAGGTTTTGTGGGAGGCACTTTTTTTCTCTTTTTCCTCAAACCAGAAAGTAATTTCAAAAAGGAAAAAGTAAAAATGTTTTCTTTGGGAAATTTAGGAATAATTAATTGTGCTTTTTCTTGGTTCCAGCTGGTCAATATGAATGCACAATGGTAAAAGAAAAAAGCAGCCCAAAGGAATAAAAGTTGAATGGCTGAGGCAAAATTTGAAGTTTGGAGCCGCTTGTTTGAGGGAAAGTAATAAGATGTGAAAACAAAACAGAATTCTCCATGGGTGTAAGAAAAGTAAAACTAGACTACAGCTATTTGCCTGCATGGTGCTGTGTTCCGCAGTTGCAGGATCAAGTCCAGGGAGGTTATGGATTCTGGTGACCGACATGGGACTCAACGAGACGTGTTTCTGCTTGGTTGATCTCAGGAAATGATTTATTCTACACAAGAGCAAACTCAGCTTAAATCCAGAGCCAGAGAGCCCAGAATAGAGACAGGGTAGGGGTTTTATGGGACTGACCCACAGTATAGTTTAAGGTTGGGGTCTTAATAGGGACATAGGAAGGGAGAAGCTCCAGGGGCACAGAACCAATCAGAGCACCCTGGGCTCCCACCCCATGAGGGTCCGTGGTTGGGGCAACTCTTCCTGGGCTCACAAGGCCTATCCCCAGAGGCAGAGGGTGGAATTTATTTTTCCTGGGCTTTAAAACCACGCCTCTCACTTTAACACTGCTTATCTGAAACGAAATCTTTGCCTCCCTGGGCGGGGGTACCCCACAGCATGGGACTGTGAGAATGCTGCAATTATTTCCTAGTAAAACCACTAGTTATATTGTTTAAAATTGTTGGGATGTGAATGAAGGAGAGAAATTACACCTTCCTGCAAACATATCTTCATATTTAATTATCTGTCCTTTGTTTAAATCTTACATATTCAAGATGTATCATCTGCTCAGTCTGGTTTTGCATGCCAAAAATAAAGGGAGACATGTGTCCTAAGAATATTTCCGAAACATAATCATCATTGTCCTTTAGAAGTGAAAGGGTGTGTCTGTCTCTGAAATTGTAAAAGAGATTTTACACTTTCTTGAAGGTTATCTTTCAGATAGTGAGAAAATTGATTACTGATGTTCTGGAATTTGGCCTTTTTAAAAAGTTTATCTGGAAGTAAAGAAGAAAGATTTGTATTCACTGCATCAAAATGTGACAGAAAAACAACTGTCTAACGAGATTTTAGGGGAGACAGTGAGCACCACTTGCTGAGCAGCCTACAAATCTGTAGTGAATGCCTGTCTATGCCATATTTGACTTGTAGATACTGCTTTCCACAAAAGCTTTGACTTGGAGTTTAGATGCTGTGCCTGCCTTTTACAAAAGTCCAAATGTATTCCCTGGAAATCGGTCTCCAGTAGACTTTTAAGGACAAATGTGTTAACAAAATGTGCTTGGGTGAATTCTATCTTACCAGGCAATTTGTGACCATAGCCTAACCTTCTTACCATGCCTGCTGTCACCTGCCCATTGTATTGTAAAGGAGGCCATGTTAGCATAAATCACTAGAAACAAACACTGAATAGCATTTGGCTAAGATCTCCGTGGCATAACCCTAAAACCAATTTTGTTGCTGTTTCCTCATTTTGTGACCTTTGGGTTATTAATGTAATACAAACTTCGTTCATTTTATTTGGCAACGTTTTTTCTTTAATATCAATTTTTTCTCCAACCTAAATCTTGCAAAATCAAAGTATAAGAGCATTGCTCCCATGCCCCAACTAAACCACTCATCCTATTGTAAAGAAATAGGAACAGACTGCCCAGGCAAGTGATTGATTCACCATCCCTGGAGGTATTTAAAAGATATGCACATATGGCCCTAAGGGCCGTGTTTTATTGGTGAACTTGGCAGTGATGGGTTAAAGGCTGAACTCTGTGATCCTAGAGGTCTTTTCCAGGCTAAATAACCCTATGATTCTGTTAAATTCTTTGGTGAAACCTACTCTTCTGAAACCATGCTGACCAGTATTCACTGTGAAATCTTCCAAATCATTGCTGGTAGAGAGTTGTTCCATTGTTTTGCTATAGTGTGTCAGATTAACTGGTCTTTTCCACTTTAACACAGTTGTACTGGTAACTCTTTGATTCATAGAAACTTCTCAATTTGCTTAAGATTTATAAAAATACATTGTTGTGTGATTTTCTTCTTGTCAAGCTTCTTGAAGACTTATAGTGTGTATTATTCAGATCTGTAAAGAAAATATTAGAAGCAGATAATTTGTATTACTGACTGCACAAAGTATATATTAAATGTCCCTTATTTTACTTCTTTTTTTTTTTTCAGTTTTCCTTCCTACATCTAGATCTAGATTGCTACGTAAGGAGCAGTTTATCCTGTTATTTAGCAGGTCTGATAGTTTAATTATTCAATGTATGCCAATCAACTCTCCTTCAGTTTTATTCATTACAACTGCGGTTGTGAAGTGCTGTGCTTTTGAAATGTCTATAGCCAGTATTAGCATATTTTTACATAGAGTGCTACCTGGTGGGTAGCACTCTATGTAAAACCTGGTGGGTTTTTTGTAAAATTTTTTCCTGAAAGGGCAAGTTAGCATCAGCAGCTTTAGCGTTCCAGTCTCATGACCCGTTCCACCAAAATACCAGCTGTAACCAACTTCTTATTGTCCTCAGGCCCTTGTAACTCTCCATGTTTATTGCAAACCAATAAACTGTCCTGTTTTCATGTAGACAGTGAGTTCAGCTCATGAGTTAGATTTCCATTTTTATTTTGAGAGAAGACTCATTCCAAAGACAAAGAGTAAGGTTCCTATCCTTGAGAGCACTTTGTCTGTTTAGCCTTTACTACCTCACTACTAGTTGCCAGAACTTGATGACCACTTGTCTGAGTATTTTGGTTTCACTTGCTCTGATTCTTTTTTCTCCAGTCTGGGATCTTGCATTACCCAGCCATGATGCAGATTGAATCATAGCTTGCATTTAGATGATATCTGAGTTTTAGATTTGTCCTTGTGTAAATTCCATAAGTCCATATGTGTCCTTAGCTTTACCTTTTCCTGGAGTGTAGACATTTAGAATGCTTCTTGCTCCTGTATTTATTCATTTCCCTTCTACAATTCCTTTTTTTTTTGCCAATTTGCTTCTTGACATCTCAAAAACATTAATCAGAGCTTAATTTTACAGGAATGTATATTCCTGTGTTTAAATTCATAAATATAGAAGTCTGAATGTCTAAAACAAGTCAATTCATGCCTCACAATACTGCTGGTTGGAAATATTCAGAAATCCTAAAATTGCTTTAAAATCATGAGCTCATAAAATTAATACATATTCAAGAGAAGGTAGTAATTGTCTTCCTGTTTTTTCAGCTCCTAGGATTCTTGACTTCCAGCTGTTCTGTATCCATCTGGGACAGCAGTTTGCTTGTTAGAGTAAAGCTTTGATTCTTCCTTCCCCTTTTGGTTTCAGAATATTAAAGCGAAGGGGAAACATGTTAAGTTATGAATCTTATAATGATAAGATAATGTAATACTGGGGATTTTTCTTACCTCCATTCTAATCCAACCTGTTATTTTACCCAACTGTACCATCAAGATTCTGGTGCAACTTCAGACCTCTTTCTTGGAAGCTCATCTTTGGTTGTGCATGTATTTCTAAGGTTTCACGTAGTCCTCTTAGAAAATACACATCACAAAACGAAATGACATTGTTTCCAAATTGCAGTCCATACTGAATACACAGGAGACATAATTGCTCAATGTGTACCAAAATTCCTTCATCAGCCACAAGCAAGAAGGTTGTGAGTGCAGTGGATTTACTGGGCCTTGATAAAATCAGCAGCAGGTCTTGGTCAGATTTAAAAGTACAGATCTAGGGCCAGGAGGAGCTCTCTACTTCATCTCTTTTTCAGAGGGATAGGGAAGATCTTTTCTCCCTTCTTTGCCCTATCTTCCAGGTCTCATGCTAACTAATGAGATTGATGGTCAGCTTTCCCTTGCAGGTAGTGGGAGTCAAGCAAGTCTTGCGATGCATTTGAAGGCTGGAAAGGCCAAGGGAAGGTTTTGCAATTGTCCACCCATTTTCTCTGGCACTGTTTTGGATCTGAACACACTCAGACCCACCTTATTTCCACAGAATAACCATTTAAAGGGGGGTGGTTGGGAGTGTCCTTATAATTTCTAAAGATCTGAATATAAATGTATAAATCAATGAATGATTAGCCTTCATCAGGCATATAACAATGAACTTTAGATTATTGAGATCTGAGGCTCTTCCTGCTCTCTATACTGATTATAAGAGATGAAACAGACCATCTTGGGCTGCATTTCCACCCTCAGCAGCATTTCTAAGCCTCAGTGTTATTTAATGTATCTCTGATGACATTAGATTTGACATTAGATTTAAAATTGCCTTTTCACTATTCTATTTTGCAGGAAACAAACTGTTGGCAAATCCCATTGCTAGGAAAGCCTTTTTTGGGTAGTCTGGGAGCTTATTTTTCAATTTAAGCATTATGTCATTGTCTTTCCCACCCTTTGTAAAGAGAACAAGAGACTGGATTAAAAATTAACTCTTTCCATCTCCCTCCAAAGTAGGGATATACAAGCTGAGATTTAATTACAAGCAAACTTGAAATTTAGTTTTTTAAGTACTATTTCAATAAGAGTTTAATTGTACATATAAAAATATTATTGCAACAGAAATTATTCTTACACATTCTGCGCTCTCTTTACTGTGTGTAGGATGGAATGTCTTTGCTGCTTAACTCACTTAAGTAGGTTTCATGGAGTTTCTGCTCCACAGTGATCACCCAGCCTGCTCTGCCATGGACCTCCTTTTCTTTCCCTGCATTCTCCCTCTGCTCTGATTTCTCTCTGTTAAGGAGTTTGCAGCAAAGAAACTTATCAAATAATCCACTGGTAAGGATAAAGGCTATAGGGTATCCTCTAATTAAAAATACTACTTTGAACTAAATTGTGATTACCTTAAAAGCAGCCTCCATCTTGTTCTCTTTATTTTTCCTCAGTCTTTTTATTTTTTTTCTATTTTTTTTTAATGTGTAGGTGACTTCTTCCCTGCTAATGGCTCTGTACTCAGGTAAACAGACATCACTGGGGGAGGAAGTGGGGCTGAAATTATGAAAAGTCAGCATAGGCTCCTCCCCTATCTAGAGGACTGTTTGCTCCATGCTGTATACATCCTCCTTTGCTGTTTCCTGCATCACCTCCTCTGTCTTGTTTGCAAGCTAGCTGGGAATGGTGCTGGCTTTTATGGTGGGCAGGACAGAAGGGCTGGTACCCATAAAGAGCCAGCCTAGGGAACAAGGACAGCTGCAGGGTTCCTCTCCCCATGTACCCATCACTAGTTACCAATGTAATGGGGAAATGGGCTCTTTGTGAACAGGGGAATACATGGCAATCCTTTCCCAACTGCTCCTTCAGGCAGTCCTGTGCACCTGATCAAGCTGTAAAAAAAACCACCCAATGCTGTGAGGGAAGAAAATCTAAGTATTTCTCCTGTGGTGGGGCTTTGTGGAGGGTTTCAGAGCCACACATCAGAAGAGGCAGTTCCCACCTCAGAGGTGTTGCAGCTAATCAAAGATTACACACAGTGACAGCTTCATTTTGGGTAGCACTGTGAAGAGGTCTAAAAATCATAAATGACATAATTATAGTGTCCACAATTATCTGTGGTGCTCTGTAAGGTGCAAGAAATGGCAGAAGAGGAAGAAATACAGAGGGAAGTCTGGGAGATTAAGCACTGCCAGAAAGAGAAAATCCCCTGCTTTGTTGTAATCCTTGTGTTTCTTAAATGTCCTCTCTCCACCTCCCTCTCCTCAATAACATTTTGATGACACTGAAAGAGGCTGTTTGTCCCAGGAGCATGAATACATCCCAGCTCTTTTGCTTGAGAACATCAGTAAGTACTGACTAATGTTCCAGCTAGGAACTTAAGACCAAGTAAGGCTCATATTTTCAAAGGAAAAATAATAGTCCCATCTTTAGGGGCTCATTTTTGCTCACCTTTCTTTACTGCAGTTCATGACTGTAGCTCAGGAGTATTCTGACTGTGTTTTGTGGAGGGTTTTTTGTGGAACCCAATAGCCTTTTTTAAACTTGTGTTTTCATACTCCTTTGTGGCTAGTATAGCTTTTGGGGTTTTTGGACACATATTACAAGGAGGTTTTTTTGTCCCTTTTCTAAATCAGTATGGCTTACAGTCTGGTCGTGCCTCAGCAGAGGGCTTGGCCACCTGAGCAGTGATACCAGGACCAGTGTCATCATTCATTCAAAGCTCTGAGCTCAGCATCTACCTAACCTGTGTTTGTATGAAGAAGTGCTCTCTGATTATCAGTCTATGCTCTCTGGATGGCTAAAATGTTCCAGCTCAGCAGCAAGGTGTACCTCTCACTTCTGACTTACTATTTTGTCTTTCATTTTATCTATCTGGTTCCTATTTCTGGTGCTTTCCAAAGCATTTCTAAATATTCAAGCCTAATGCTACCTAGAAACATTATGTTATCAGTATGTGTGTTCCCTCCAGAAAGATTTCCTAATGTTGTGATGTTCCTAACATGTATGTGACCATAGTAGAAACACTTAATACCTCTTGAAAGACTGGCTCAGTAAGTGCTTAAGTGCAGATTTGGAGTTCTGCACTAACGAGGTTCTGCCAAATCCCAGCTGATGCATCTAATTTGCTAAAGAATGTGACTTCTGCTCTCTCAACAAAGATTTCATTCCTCGTGGGCAATAGGAAGCTTGCCCTCTTTATGTTAGTGTTCACCAGCTCAGTGTTGTCTGAGACAGCCAAATTTGTTAATAAGGAGAGGAACCGATCTGTTGGTCCCTATGTTCTTTGTTCTCTTGTTGCATTCTGGAGTCCTCCCTCCTTGTACTGAGCTCCTTTTTCATGTGTGAGAGGAACATTTTGTATGCATTAGCCTGCAAAACATATCTTACACACTGGAACAAAACCACCCATTCTGTGATAACACATCTTCCGAACAGATGCTTCTTCATTTACACCCGGTGTGAGCTTGTTAGCAGCTCTTCCTCTACACTAAGAGAGGAGCTGCCTAGAGAGGATCAAGTATCTTGTAAGAAAACAAACCCAAGTATAGCAATACTGTTACAAAATCATGTTTCCTCTGTCTCCTTTTCATTTC